CACCGGACGCGTCCTCGGCAGCAGCGAGAAAAGCCGCGCCGCTTTTTTCAGCCTCGCTGGGGGGGGGCCTTTTAGTGCGGGGTTGCCTCACCCCGTCACAGGGTGATGCACACACATATTGTGCATATCACTCACATTCTTCTTCTCACTGTTTCTATAAACTTGATTAATACCATCCCTTGTTTTGAAGGGTTAGAGAATTCCCTAAAAAACACTGAAAATAGTGCTCCTGATGTTGCAAATAAACAAAAATACATTTTTTAAATGACATTTGCCATAAAAGTCTATTTGAATGAAATACCTGGTCATTTGTATACAACATAACTTGTTTTTATTTGTTCCTGTAGATGAGGAGACAAGAAGCCTGCAGCTTGAAGAGCAACCTTTGTGTTTTACTGCTGGGCGTAGTTCGCATTTTCTTTTGGTGGTGGCTGGCAGAGCTGATAATTCATCTCATGTATATCCATGCCATATATAGTAGTTCTTCACATCTGGAAGCAGTGTCTTACTGGACCTTAGGTAAGTGTAAATATAACTTACTTTGAATATACTTGTTAATTCCTTATTCAGTGTCCAAAAGATGCTTTAAAGATACACTTGAGGATTTACCCGGTGTTGCTCAGGTCCTTAATTGAAATAATTTTTGTTTGTCTTCATTGAAATCATAGCTCTGGGGTAGGGCTGTGGATGAGGGATTCAGTCTGCAGGCTGTCCCGGGGAAAGAGCCCTCTCTCACTGCAGCAGCATGGGCCCAGGTGAGAAGTGCTTGTCCATGGCCACTGCAGCTGCAGCAGCTGGGAGGGGAGAGGGTTCATGTTTCCAGCTGCAGGATAGATGGACACAGACAAACTTTCTCAAATATATAGTAGATAGTTGTCCCTTTGTCCCATCCCTGTCCCTTGCTGCCCCAATGTGGTTATAGCTGTCCTGGTTCTCTGTCTGACCCATTTCCCCCCGGTGGTCATTATACACTATAACTGTCTCTGCTACGAGAGTCTTCCCTTTCTGTGTTATGAGAAACAATCACATTCCAGGCACACCCTATTATCATGGCCAAACCCTTATCTTGCTTTAAGTTATGATAAGAGGACGCTGCATATCGATTTAGCAGAAGTTCTTGAATAGACAGGCAGGCAGGCAAACTCTATCAAATAAATAGTAGGTAAGGCAAGATTTTTGCTTCCTCCTTCCCAAAATAAATTATAGTTAGAACCATTTGAATAGTTTCAATTTTTTGTAAAATCTTGATATTCAAAAGCTTAAACAAATTGAAAAATGTGTATATGAAATTTTAGGCAAATAGAGTTGGTTGAAATTATTTTAAGTTTTGAGGAGAAAAAGGAAAATATTTTGAGAAAAATTTCAGTTCTTCCCTTCCACTCTGCTTTTTCCTTCCAACCTGTTCTTCTTATCTAAACAGACAAAATAAGTTAAAAGGTTAAAGCCAGGAATACAAGAAGGAAACAAGGTTGGCTGTGTATGTTTGGATTGTATATTTCATAATGTTCATCATCATTGGGTGTGTATATGAAAGAGAAACACGTTTAGTATTTTACAATAGTTTTCCTCATCTGTTTTTCAGTTTCTTCTTTCTTTTTGGTGGCTATATGGTAATTTGATGGTAAATGCTTAGATATTATACAGATGAGTGCAGTATAAAAATGTTGATAGTAGTCACTGTCATCACATGTAAGCTGTAGTCATGTACATTCCCAAATGCTGTGTTCTGCGGTACTGTGACATGTACAATTGGTGAACCCCTTCCCTCAAACTATTAAACTTTGACTCGGCAAAGTCAGACTTATTGCTCACCAAAGCAAAGAAGATGCCTCTCAGCACCTCAGGTTGTTAGGTCAATCTGTTGTAAGGACATAAGAGAAGATCCTCTTCTATCCAGCAGAGGACAGTGGTATATCAGACCATTAATTATATACAGTCCTATAACTTATTTTTGATCTTCTGATCTGTGCTATACAGGAGGTCAGTCTAGATGATCACAATAGTCCCTTCTCTCCTTGGACTCTATGAATAGAAATCAACCCAGTAGTTAGATGACAGGCTTTAAGAACATAAGAGAGGCCATACTGGGTCAGAGCAAAGGTCCATCTAGCCCAGTGTCCTGGCTTCCAACAGTGGCCAATGCCAGATGCCTCAGAGGGAGTGAACAGAAACAGGTAGTCATCAAGTAATCCCTTTCCTGTCATCCATTTCTATCCCCTGACAAACAGAAGTTAGGGACATCATTCCTACCCATTCTGGCTAATAAGTATTGATGGACCTAACCTCTGTGAATGTATGTAGTTCTTTTTTGAACCCCGGTTAAAGTCCTGATCTTCATAACATCCTCTTGGCAAGGAGTTCCACAGGTTGTCTGTGCACTGTGTGAAGAAAAACTTCCTTTTGTTTCTTTTAAATCTGCTACCTGTTAACAGTCCTTGGCCATAAACAGAACCTGTATTTATAGGTAGCAGGTTGCTTTCCTTCTGGTGGAGGGCTGTGGTGCAAGTCCTCTCAAAGTTAGTGTGTATATGACAGAAATTTAAGAGTTTTTGCTTCATGCTTTTCCCCCTCCATTGCTTCAATCAGCATTTGTAAAGGAGATTCTGAATTAGCATTTCCTGTTCCAAACAAGAATTCTTCAGTCAATTAAATCTGGTAGCAGCTGATGCTGTCTGTATTCAGACGGTAAAAGCTTTGCTGTGTTAAATGACAGAACATGTTAAATCAAATGTTGATTAGTTAATAGGTGCAAGATTCCAAAATTAAGGGATTACCATTCAATAATGGGGTGTGTGTGTCTGTAAACTATCAACATCATTAAAACAGTAAATAAAAATGCTATTTGAGAAGCAACTCAGATAGCTGATAGTCATTTGATGCAATCAGTGTCACATTACAATAACTAAAACTCATTGGGAACTGGTGATTAGAAAATGCTTAAAATTCAAGTCCAGTTGATGAAAGTGTATTTCAAAGCTTGTCTGTATTGTAAAATTGCAATTTGGAGAGCCTGCTTAGAAGAGGTGTGATTAATGGGCAATGGTGTGCTCCTACAGAGGGATCATGAGTGACAGTGTAGTTAATGAAGATAGGTAATTAAATAGTAGAGTTCAGTTAAGTTTTCAAGGCTGAATGTACCAGTAAAAGTGTCACTTTTTAAAGTACTTTTATTCTGTCCAGTTCTGACAATCTGCAGCTGTTTATCACAATAATTGTGCTTCATCTCTAGTCAAATCACATTAACAAATTTAAGACACATTACTTTTAGGTTTAAATTCCATGACTGTGTCCTTTTAAATGATATTTGTAGATCTGTTTACATACCTTTTTACTGTTCCTTGTACAGATCCAAATGTATCATTATCTCGCATTCCATATTTTTGTAACTGCTTACATCAAAGAGTGATTGAAGAAATAGATTGTTGATACTAAAGTTGTAGTTTTCAGCCTTTTCATTTGTGGACTCTTAAAGTTTTGAATGAAAACGTGGGCATCTTTGGGACCAAAGGTTGAAAAACACTGTACTAAAGGATTAAATCACATGGTATATTAAGGATTCTGTGCCATTCTCCTCCCAGCCCATTTTGTGACTTATATTGAAAGCAGATTGAAAGCTGTAGGTATCCTCTTGTGTGTGTCATTGTCCCCATTAACTTGTAAACTTCATAGTGAAAAGTGAGGTATTACTGCAATGAACTGTAATTAGGTCAGTTAATGGAAATATGTGTAACTTTGTGGATGTTACAATTGCCCTTCCAATTTTTCTTGAATATTGAAATACAAATCAAATCTGTCAATGAGAATAGAAGCAACAGAGCTTAAAACTTGACCAAAGGGTAAATCAGTCAATCTTGGGGACAGTTTGCTATGGTCAAAAGTATGCTTAAAAAGAAGCATAAAGCAGAATACCTTTTTAGACATAAAAACATTTAGTCTAATGTCCCTGCAAGGTACATCTATAAGCATATACAAGGTTTATATAGTAATGGTGATAATTTAAAAATGTCAAAACTTTAAAAATATGAACAATTTTCTGCTGTATCACAGACCTACTATAAATGAAACACAGTAGGTCCATTATTCATTTGTCTTTCCTCCCTCACTCGTACATAGAACTAAGAAATTAAATAGCACCTGGGACAAGCAGTTATCCATCTTCAAGAGAAATGTTTCCTTTGTAGTAGGAAACTAAGCAAGTGAATTTCTCTAAGCAGTAGTGCGTAGAAAGGTTTGTGAGTATTATAGATACCTACTTTCTGAAGGTATGTTATGAATCCAAAGCTAAAGGTTCAAATGCCATCCAACACTTAGAAGTATTTACACTTTACTGTTAATGAAGTTATTGAATTGTGCTCTTGCTTTAAAATCAGCTGATTTGTTGGCTGAGTCCTCCTATATGACTCACCCATATATTTACTTAGTTGGGAACTTAAGTAGTTAATGTGATTCCTCCTCTTTGTGCTCTTGGTTATAAATCAGTGTCATCCCTGGCTCTATTACTATCACAGTACACCTTTCTGGAGTTAAGACATCACATTCCTTCTTGATTCACTTGTAACTCCACAGCCTTATTCATTTCTCTCCTCTCTCATATCTGTTTCCATGATTGCCAGATGATCTAATCTCCTCATGAGCAAAAGCATCTCCTACCGCAACTAAGCTAACCCATCTAGATAGGTATGTCTACATGACAAAAAATAGATCTCAGAGCTTGGGTCAGCAGACTTGGGCTGGCTGGGCTCATACTCCAGGGCTAAAAAATAGCAGTGTAGATGTTAGGACTCAGTCGTGGAGTCTTCACGAGGAGAAGCAGGGGAGAACCAACTGGTTGGCCGAAGGGGAAGCGAATCATCGGCAGGGAGCGGGACTGACCCGGGTACGTGCAAATCCCAGGGTGCAGATCTCAGGGTGCTCTCGTTCCACGCAAGTCAGTCCGGCTGCAGCTCCACCATGCGCTTGACCAGCACGCAGGAGCACGGACCGGGCTGCCCCTCCTCCTCATATGCAACCAGGGCTCCCAGCGCCGATCAAGCCCTGTCTCCCAGCCACTCTCCCCACCCCCGCCAGGCTTCCGTCCAGAGCCCAGCCGGAAAATGAGAAAATACCGGACATTGCACATGTCCGGTATTTTCTGGATTTTTTTTTACCGGACAGAGGGCCCAAAAACCAGACTGTCCGGTAGAAAACTGGCACCTGGGAACCCTACCTGGCAACACTATGACACATTCAGCAACCGGGCCCAGCCCCTGGACACCCTGCCAGGCCCCCCAGATCCCTCGCCAGACTCTCCACCCTTTCCACCCCCTGTAGACACCCCCCACCCACACGCTTACCTGGTTCTGCAGGGGCTTGTCTTGTGGCTGGAGCAGAAAAACAAAATGGCCACTGGGCAAAAAGCCTTTTCTTAAAGGGACCATGCTAATTTTTTATTTTATTTTATTTTATTTGCTCAATAACTTTGGTCTCCCCCCTCCCTTTTTTTTTCTCTCAACAGAATTTTTTTCCTAGTGTTTCTTTTTCCGGGGGTTGGTTAAACCATCTGGCAACCCTACTCCTACTTGTCTTTCATGGGTGCTTTGAGCACCTGGGAGGTGCTAAGTAGGCAGCTGTGTGGCAGCACAGCTTAAACGAAACTTAGACTACAGACAAGGTTGCCATCATATACGTATGTTCAGGCATGCACATTAGAGACATACAATTTCAAAACATTTTATGGGCTTGTTTATATCAGCTGTAGGTCTAACCTATTAGTCTTAACTAGGTACCATATTTTCTAGTGAAGAAAATTGAGTTTCAGTTGTCATTGCTTTAATTATTCATTAGGTTTCCTGATTAGATTTTCCTTTGTATTTAATAAGGAGAGTCTTTATATAAAATCATGTGGAATAACATAATGAATGCAAGACATTATTGATGATAGTTTAAAAAGGCATAAAAAACAGTATTGGCAATAAAGAATGTAACATCACATACATACCTAATAAGTGAAGTCTGCATATTGCCCTGTCACTCAGATGGCAGAGTACTGTGGCTGGGGTCTTATTATTCTCTTTCTAATAACCCATGAACAGGAAAGGGATTTCTGAGTTCATTCTTAAGAAGCACGTAGTGTTTTGTTATTGAAATGGTGGCGCCTGTGCATCCATTTAAATGGTAATGAAATGTTAACAAAGTAATTTGTTAGCTTTCTCCCACAAGATGAGGAGAAAGTGATAAAATATTTGGCATCTGATGTCTGTTTTGAAAACTGGAAATACAGTTATAAGCCACAAAGCTTAATGAGATTTTCTTCTCTAAAACATTGGGCAGTTCACTGCTTCATAACAAGAAAAAGCTTATAAGTTCTCTTGCAGTCTTTTGCAGATATTGGTAGGTAACCCACTTTTATTACAAAGGACAAACAGCCTGTATTTTATTTTTTTACTCACATGGTAACTGTTGATTATTTAGGATTCACTTCTCCATGGATCATTACCTTGTAGTGGTGGAGAGGCTCCTGTGTTCCTATGACCCTAAGAGTGATGCTGCCTGGAGTTCATGTACTCTGGTAGGGTCACCAGTGCTCCCTCTAAGCTGTGAGACAGCACAGCTTCACAGGTGATTAATCAGCCCCACCCAGTCAGTCAAATTCCTGCACAGAGCCCTGAGCCTCTGACTGGGTGAGGCTGATTAATCACCCATGGCGAAGTGCTGCCCCACAGTTCAGAGGGAACAGTGAGGGTCACCCCTGGCAGAACGGTCAAGGGTGAGGTTGCAGACAAAGTGTGATCCAAGAAATGCTCAATGGCAGAGCAGACAGTGGATAACTGCACAGTGGAGGTTTGTTACAACTGCTGTGAAGGCTGATGAAGGCTGTAGCCGACAGAGGACCTCCAATAATTGTGGTGCCCATGCCATTGGTTTTAAGCCCTCTATCTGTCAAGGACAGTGTGGTGACTGTTGTGAATCAGTCTCCCCACTTTAATAGGAGTCCCACACTGGTATTTTCCAGTTTTTGGGAAAACAACATCTGTACAAGTCAAAAGTCTGGTGGTACTTGGCAAGTGGTGACAGGAACAGGACATTGAGATACAGAAATTCCTAGTCACAGAAAGACACACAGACAGTGGGTGTGTGATTCAGTCGTCTTGCTCAACACTTTATCCTTCTTGCCTCAATAACACAGAGACTGGGATCCCACAGCGGCCAAAGTGACCATTTGTGCTGCTGCGAGCTCATACTAGGCAGGGTGGGTGTGCCTATGCAAACAAGATCAGCCCCTGAAGTCTTTTTGCACCACTTGCCACAATTCACCACCAGATGTCAGGGTAGAACTTATCCTGACCCTGCGTACAGGTATGAAATCCTGCCCTCGTTGAAGTCAATGGGAATTTTGCTACTGACTTCAATGGGGCCAGGATTTCCCTAGATTAAGTAGTCATTTAATTTATAACAGTGGCTAGCTACATTTGGAGTGCCATCCAGAGCACATCTTAGTAGAATGCCAAAAATACAATGCCCAAAAAAGTACCTACACGTTGTACTTTCATGAATTACATTTCTGGAATGAGACTGTCACAGTGATGGACCCTTTTAATTGGGATGGGGTCCATGCATGAGTGACTTGTTAGATGCCTCCCAGTTGGGCTTTAAATAAAGAGTCAGGAATGGTGCAGGTTGCCTGAGGAGGAAAGGGAGGCTCAAGGGGGAAACAGGAGCAGCAGAGGAAAGCTGATCCAGAGAGCCATTGGGAAGAACAAAGTGTGAAAAAATGGATTCGGAAGGACAAGCTAGGACTGGTGAGAGTTGCTGAGTTATAGGAAAGTTTATACATGAGGTGGGACTTGAAGGAAAACATCACATATCACAAGTCTCACAATAAAATTAATCTGACATTGTGGGGTCTCTCTTGACCTGCCATGATACTACAAAGGTAACAATACTTACGTACCCATTTTGGAGGGACATGTGAAGAGTGTATGTAATAATACTGTACAGACTGTATATTGACTTTGTTTTGGCAGACATCAAGATTTATTGTCCCTTGAGGTAAATATTTCTCTTTGGTCAATACAGCTTGATTTTTCAGCAGAACACAAGTCAATAATTGCATATCAGAACAATCCAGACCTGAGGAAGCTTCTGATGCTTTGTGTATTTAAGATCACAGATCTTATGTTTAGTGCATTATAGCTCACATACATTTTATATGAATCACAGAGTTTATTAATCAAATGTTTAGAATTTTGGATAATGGATAATTTGATTAAGGAAAAAATTGGAAACATTTTTTAAATGTGCTTTTAATTATCTTATTTTTTGTAAAGCATTGGCATGTTCTCTTTCAGGTGGCCTGGCATTAGCTCAAGTACTATTTTTTTATGTGAAATACCTGGTTCTCTTTGGTATTCCTGCTCTTATTATTCGAATGGATGGACTCAAACCTCCAGCTTTACCTCGCTGTGTGAGCACTATGCACAGTTTTGCTGGAATGTGGAGGTCAGTAAGTTTCATGTATTGATAGGACAGTAATTTTTCAGTGTATAGATGATGGGTGTGTGTGTTCTGAACTATTCTTTAACTTGTTGTCCTTTAATAGATCTTCCATTTGATTGCTTTTTTAAAAAATGCCACAGAAATAAAGGGAAGACTATCTTTCAGGATTTTCATAATCTTAATTATAAAAATTATGTCCAGGCCACTTGACTCTTTTCAGTTGTGGTCCACAAAAATGACTTTAAGTTGAAAATTCATTCAGTGAATAAATATTTAACTATGAGGAATGTTGTGGAGTTATAAAACTTTAATAGGAAGATAACTGTATATATGGAAGGTTTTCTTCATAGCAATTAGCACGTTAAAAGCAGTATTAGTTCATATTTTACAGTGACATTCTGGTGTCCCCCAGGTCTAAGTAAACATGGACAATCAAAATAAGAACTGTGGTTGTGAAGCTTAGAAATTATTTTAAATCGCATAGGGCTTTGATCTGGCCGGCGAAGCAGTTTCAGGCCCTGCCCCATAGTTCATTGCCTCAGAGGAGGAGACGGGTGCAAGCCCTTCAAACTGCTTCTATTTAAAGGGCTCACCTCTTCCCCGCACCTTGCCTAGCAGCTGTGGGGAAGGCACAAGCCCTTTAAATAGAAGCAGCTGATAGGGCTCGCAGCTCCCTGTGCCTCTAGCGCATTGCCGGGAAACAGGAGAGCCCTTTAAATACAGTAATTCCTCATTTAACACTATAGATACGTTTCAGAAAATGATCGTGTTAAGTGAAAATGTGTTATGCGGGGTCAATTTTCCCATTGAAAATAATGGAAAAGGTGGGGGTTGCGTTTCAAGTGGTGGTGTCTGTTGGGACCGGGACATAAGGTTGGGGGAGAAAGGGGACTGGGTTGCAGCAGGGAGGGGAGGTGTTTGGCTCTGGGGAATGGAAGGGAGGGGAGCAGAGGGGAGGGGGATTGGGTTGGGAGTATGCCCCTATGATGGGTCTGCTGGGACCCGCACTGCGTCCGGCGAGGGGGAGTCAGTGGGGAATGGGGGGAAGAGGGAGCAAGGCGTCAGGCAAGAAGGAGTCAGCGGGGAACGGCACAGCAAGTGGTGAACTCAGCGCAGCCACTGGCAATGGGCCGGCTGGGGAAATGGTGTTATTCCGGGGATGGTCATGTAATTTAAAAAATGTTCCCTAAAAAAAAAAAATCGTGCAATCGCGAAAACATGTTAAGTGGGCACGTGTTAAATGAGAAATTACTGTAGAAACAGCTCAGAGGAATCCTGCATCTCCAGCAATGCACTAGAAGTGCAGGGAGCTGGGAGCCCTTTCAGCTGTTTCTATTTAAAGGGCTCTTGTGTTCCCCGGATGTTAGGCAACGGGTTCCCTGAGAGGCACAGGGAAGGCGCCAGCCCTTTACATTTCAAATCAACGCCACTTGTGGAATTTTATGCATCTCTTAATGAACACATTTTTCTGAAGGTCAAGGTTCATGCCCAAATTATGCTTGTATTGTTTAGATCAACTTACATCTGCGAGCAGACATTTTCTGTGATGAAATTCAATAAATCTAAAAACAGATCTTCTATCACTGCTTGACCACCTTGCAGTAGGGCTCCGCATCGCAACATCAGCAGTGACACCTGACTTCACCTTCCTTGTTAATGCCCAGCATAGACTTTCTTCTTCATATTGAGTTGCATTTTTTATTTTATACTTAAATTTAATGCACATAAGTTGCATTAAACTCAGGTGGGCAATAATTCGGATGTAGCTTCTGCCAGTGCTTATTAACCTGTGCCTCTGCACATATGACCATTTAAAGCTCCTGTTGGCTGTGGATCACCGTTCCTAGCCTATGTGAGCTGTAGGAGGTGGTGTGCCTATTGGCTAGAGATGGTGCTCCATGGTGAATGGGAGGTTCAAGCAGCTGTACCAGTGAAGGTGCATGTAAATAAAGCATTGGTGGCCTGCGGGAGCTAACCCTGGGAAATCATGGCCACTCCATGGGTTGGATACTGCCCACCACTGATGTAACTAAAAGTTCAGTGTTAGTGTTGTTATTACAAATGTTACAAGTGTTCTCAAAATGTTAGTGTTGTTGTTACAGATTTTACAAGTGTTGCCTTCTGTAATAATCTTTGGATAATGTTATATGCAGTTAACTATTATTAAAAATGTAATTACTTTGTTGTGTAAAAAACATAGTGCCTTTTTATAGCACATGGACTGCCCTTCTGCCTGAGGCCCTGCCCCTTCCGCCTGAGGCCAGGGGACACTTCTGAAATGTGTGAAGTGGCCCTCTCCTTCAAAAATTATTGCCCACCTCTGCTTTGAATAATTAAGACTGTCAGCTCTTTGGTGCCTGCTCTCCTTTTTTTACTGTGTGTGTTTGTACAGAGTCTCTAGCATAATGAAGCTTGATGTGACTGTGGAGTCTATGTACAGTTGCAATACATATTAATATTTTTCCTTTTTCTTTTTTAATTTGACCTGTATGCTATACTACTATAAGGGCTGATTTCGATGATTTTTTTTAATGTTGGAAGCTATCCATAACAAAGAAAACTAACTAGCCAGGGGTTTGTATTGTAGCAGTAGAAAACATTAAAAAAGGAAATGGGTTTTATGGCTGAGGTTGGAGAAGAATAAATAAGACATTTTATAATAGTTTAAAATCTGAAATACAAACAAGAGACACCTTTGGATTAGATTCTCCTTTGAAACTGTAAAGTGAACTTTTGAAGACTGAAATATATATATATATATAATTTTTTTTGGCAAGCTTGTGAGCTGATAGCAACATATTTTGGCCTGACTGGATTTTGAAAGCAGAGTTTGAACCAGCAACCAGTGTCTTCCTGTTGTGCAAATTTCAGTCCTTGGAATCTTAGCATTGCGTTTGAGGTGTTAGCTAAATTGAACACCAGCATGAATACAGATGGTATTACTGTGTCTAATACAAATAGACCATTGAAGAATTGCTATTAACCTGTGAAGGTGGACAGAATGGCTGAAATGTGTGTTAATCTTTTGGTACTCTTAAATATTAATGAATATAATTACAACATTTTCAGATTTTATGAACTCATTAGATCTTTGAAAAGTTTCCAGTTTGTTGTTTATCATTAAAAAATAATTGCATACAATCAAGATGGTCTACAAGGGCATTAGTATTTGGGTGCCTTGTCCTTTGATTCAGCAGTATGAAAAGGAGAAGGGTTTTCTCCTTTTCTAGCAGACATAAGAGACATCACCAGAGGTAATGGCTTCCTACTACTTGAAGCATTAAAGGAGAACAGTGAGGGAAGATAAAAGGTAACAGACAACCTATCCTCAATTCTGACTTACTAAATGGACAATTTCTACTCCTTGATATATTTGCTTTCCGCTACCAACTCTTTGTAAAACTTTCCAGTAGTGATAAACCTGAATATTGGATTAACAGTACTCTTTGGATATTAGTAAACTTGTTCTCCTAAATCTCAGTTATTGCTGATTATATATTATATGTATTGTATGACTCTTAAGCAAAACTTTTATTTTTAGATAATCTAAGCATAACATCCAGATGTACAGAAACTCTCTCAACCCATGTACTAGATACATTAGCATTAATAAAATGTTTAAATATGAAGGAGAAAGATGCTGGTACAGTGAGTCATTACATTCTTATTGATAAGTCAGTTTCATACTGCACATTTACAGCTAGGAATATTATTAACCTATAGCAAATTTCTAGCCTACAATTTACAATTCCCTAATATCTACTGTATATAATACACTTTTGTCATATAAAAGCAAGTAATCTAGACATTCACATCATAACTCAGCTTTAACTATCTGATGTCACCAAAACATATGTGGGATATTTTTAACATTAATATTACACATATACTCTCAGTTTCTGTCTGTCTGTCTTTCTCTCTCTCGCTGCTGCTCCTGGCAACATTTTCCTGAGCTAGAGTAGCTACTTTTTCATCACACAGCAAGTCAATGCACATTGTTCCAGTAACAGTTCAGCCGCTCTGTTGGTAATACAACACAATCATCAGGCTTAGCTCCTGCCCTGCAGGTCAGCACATTTGCCTTCTAGGCAGATTTCCCATCTGGTCCCTACCATACCCCCAAGATTTTTTTGTCTTAAGAATAAGACTGAAATTCCCAGCAGAGAACTATGTTTGTTTTCCCTGAGCAGGGTCTATCATTGCAGTGGCACGAATCTTTCTCTTTCTTTCTGGGGACATATCGCTTTGCACACCTTTTTGGACAAGAATTCCAATCATTGCTAAGAACTGTTGGATGAGTCTGCAACTTAAGTGACTCTCTGTGCTGTAAAGACATCAGATGCTGGTTTAAGAACAAAATCAATCTGTCCAATCTACCTGGTATAATATTTAGTGAATTCCTTACACAGTTGAAACCCTTGTTTGTGTGTGATATTAGTATTGTCCTAATCTCTCTAACCTCACACACTACTGTATCTGGGGGCTGCATTTATCAGTGGAAGGCTCATCATGCTTTTATACTCTCTTAATGCTGTCTTTAAACTGCTGTTTCACTGACAGTGTCTGCTTGTCACCTCTACACTCTGTTTTATTGTGTAAAATATTCTATTCCCCTGTTAGCCCTAAGAGCCTTACCAGTCTCTGATTTTTGCTGTTCCATAAAGACAGATTCTGGTGCAGGTCTCCAGGTTGCACATCCTTAAGAGCAGGCCCCATACTATTAATACTATAATTCAAGCCATTTTTTGACACAGGTGTTGAAGGCGGTGTTCCTTCTAAGTAGCACAGCTTCCTAGCTGATTAATTAGCCCCACCCAGTCAGTGAGCTCCCTGCAGGGAGCCCTGAGCCTTTGACTGGGCGGGGCTGATTAATCACTTGTGAGGCTATGCTGCCAAGCAGCTTAGAGGGAACACTGATTGAGGGTAGTCATTGAAATCTGGTAGTGCACCGATTAAATAGAGTTTGTATCAGAATTAGACAACGGTTTCCCAGACCACATAAC